GGGAAGAAGGATTGAAGTCCTTGGTCTAAATCAAGCAAGCAGAGGAGTTCGAATCCAGAAAAATGCTTAACTACTGGGCAATACCTGCCACTCATTCCTAAAGTCCTAATAGACTGGGGTCCTCAGAATTTCCACATAAGTAGGACAGGTGGGTGCACAGCCCCTTACACCAGGTAGTTACCAAGAATTTACTACTAAAATTGAATGTTCTGATCATCCCAAAAAGTGCAGTTCTGTTCAACTGATCTATATGACAAAAGAGGTGAAAGACGAAGTGTGCATATTTAGTATGTGGGCAACATAAGGCTCTTCAATATCCTGAAGGACAAAATTAGAAACCAAAATGTTTTTAACAAATTGGAGACAGTTTAGAAAAAAATGCATTTCAGTAAGAACATGTTTCAATAAAGAAAAATGCAGTTTTACATGGCAGCAGAAGTTATCTGCTGCATAAACACAGGAAAAGGTAAAAGCTAGACAGCATTTCTGAGAGAATGTTTTCGTGAATTATATGCAAAACGCTAGCCTAGCTCACAAGACATGGGCAACAGCCCTTACACTCTCCTTCATATTAGTAAGGCTTCATCTAGAAGCATTATCACAGCTAGAAGCTACAACTAAAGGAATGAACGAATAGGAAAGATTCAAAGGCAAACAGTGAAAACTACTTAAAGACTTAAAAAACAGTCTCTAAGGAAAGATGGAACAAATTCATACGGTTTAGCCTGGAGAATACTGATGATGGCAATAGTCTTCGAGCATGTAAAAAATTATGGAAAACAGGAATAAACTTTTGCTTAGCAGAGTAAGATACAATGGGCTTCAGTTACAGCAAGAACAGACTGCCCAAGGAGGCTGTCAGAAATGCATTCCTAGAGGTCTTCTCTTGACCAGGCAACTCTGCACATGTGACACAGGGATTCTACCTCATACTTGAACATTAGGCAAAGGCATCTAGAGATAGATGGAGCAACGATCCTTCCCTCAACAGCACACCCCTTTAGGCTCACCCACCCACACAGAAATGTAAAAAAAGGCAAAACTCATGACACAGCTGAAGCAAACTACTCAGAATACAGTGAAGAGATGATCCCCAGAAACCTCTCAAAGAAGACGATTTCAGTGATACATATGTCCTGTTTCCGGCAGGGATAGGGTTAATTTTCCCAAGGAGCTGGCATGGGACACAGGTATTCTATACCATGTGATACCATGCCCAGTCTATAGGGGGGAGCTGGCTAGGGCTTACAGGTAAGGTCAGTGAGTGATGGTACCGTAACCGTGTTTGTACATTCCTCTATCACTATTATTGCTGCTGTTTTCCTCTTTCCTTTGCTGTTCTGTTAAACTGCCTTTATCTCAACCCACGAGTTTTGCCTTTTTCTTCTGATTTTCCTGCACAGCTGTGGGAGGTGAGCAAGAAGCCGCTTGGTTCTTTGTTGCCAGCTGAAGTTCTTGTGAGGCAACAAGGGTTGAGATAATGACAGAGCTGACCAGAGCTTGTGAAAATGAATTTGTTGTATGCATTTATTATATTAGTTAAATAGTCACTGCTCACAATGTTGCTTTGTTTGTTCTTATGGTTGTGTTATGTAAATTCTTATATGCACTGTGTACTCCCTGTGATGCTGTTTGTCACCTCTGGGAGAGGGAAAAGGATTGTAATTTTGCTGTCCTGTGCAATATCAAATTATGATATGATAAATCCCTGTTCAGGCAGTTACGTTGAGGTGTTTATGCAGTACTGCTGTCCTGCCTGTACCTCGGGTGCCATCTCTTGGAATGTATTAATAATCAGACCCAATATATGGGGGAAACAGGGGGGGAATACTTTCCCCAGCTCTTTTGCCTCCCTTTCCTACTTTGGGCCAGGTATGTGTTGCGTTAAAGGGGCAA